GTTGTGGATTCCTAATAGAAGGGATGGATGAAATCTATGGGAAGCCCATATAGATTTCGTCCAATGGGCCTTCTAGAAGGGTTTCATGGATTACTTAAGGCTTAAGCAATCATATTAGGGTTTCCATCAAAAACCCTAGCAGCCACAAGTATAAATAGACCCCAATATTAAGGATTTTGGCCCCATGCTTTGTGAAACCCTAAGGTGGCCGAAAATCCTTCTCTCCAAAGTCAGCTCCTTGCATTGGGTGTTTGTGACTTCATTAGAGGTGCAACACTTGGGGTACTAGGCTTTCAAAAGTGAAGATCAAGAATGATTGCTCATGTTATATTGCTATATAACAAGTAAGGTAAAGTTTCTGACCCTAATCATATGTGATTTTCGAATTGTGTATGCTAGTTCATAGGGTTATTGCTTTGGTATTCATAGTTATATGTACAATAGAGAAAAACTTAGATCCAAAGCAATTAGGGTTGCATGTGCACCATAGGAGTGTTGTTATGCTTAAAACCCAACATATGTTTCATCACCATTACCACTGAAGATTGCTATGCCTTCATCTATACAAGGCATATCATTTGGCACTTGTAGTTCAATTTCTTCTTCTCTAGGTTTTTCCACAACATCATGAATTTCTTCTCTAGGCTTTTCCACAGCTTCATGAACGTCATCCATGTTTGTAACAACCTGAATTTTTCTACTATGTCATTGAGGTTAGTTCCATTATATTTTCTTGTTAAGTTACTTTTGTCATGGTTAAAGTTAACTTTTATGGGTCAAAGTGCAATAAAAAGTTAAAGTGCGAAGGCGAGACTGTACACACATCAACAGATTTATGATTTAAAATTTTGCATTGTTTTCTATAACTATGATTTATGAATAATTGTTTATGAACAAACGGTTTCCCCTTAATGTAATTTCATTAAAGTGGATGTTTTTATTATTTTAATAATGAAAACTTTAGTCTGGGATTTGGGAGCGTTACACTAAACTTATTTTTGTGTTTGATATACCATTGAACTTTTTAAAATTGTTCAAAAAAACCAATATAAGCAGGTATAGTGTGTTTTGCCGGTTTTTGGCGTCGTTCTGGCCAATGGATTTTGAGGTGAGTTCTTGAAGGCCACACATTTTTTAGGTTTCTCATTTTCCCAAAATCACTACAAAAGAAGCACTATAGATGAAAGGGTTTTATATTCGTGAAATTTGAAATCATGTTTTTGAAATCCCCTATTCAAATATGGAACAAAGACATGGACCCTAAATCGGTGAGTTCTTGAAGGCCATATATTTTCAGCTTTCTCATTTTCCTAGAAGCACTACAATATGAAGGGGTTTATGTTCCTGAAATCCGAAATCATGTTCTTGAAATCCTATATTCAAATCTAGAACAAGAACACAAACCCTACATCGATTCTAGAAATGTATATGTGTATGCCTAAATCGATTTTGCACACCTAAATCGAAAACCCCATATTCGATTTTACATATTCAAACACGAACTCAACCCCTTGTTATGAACTTATGATGATTAATTTTCTTCGAAAATACATGTTTCAAGAGTTCAATTATACATAAAGTCTTTGAAGATTTTGTACAAGCAACCAATTCTAGAAAGATGATCTTTTACATGATTTTTGAAATCGATTCTAGAAAAACCTAAATCTAAAAACCCTCATTTCTTGAAACCTAAAAACCCTAAATTTGAAATTCTGATTATTGGATTTGGATGAACTTATGTGTTGGATCCGGATGAACTCATGTGCTGGAAAAATCATGTTGGAAAATTTAGGGTTCTTATTTTAGATAGCGTATTTAGGGTTTTCGTGCTGGAAAATTCGTGCTTGGCCGCGGAATATTACCGAAAAATTCATAATTGGCTTGAAAACTCATATTTGATCGGAAAAGACGTCAGAAACCTATAAAACATATTATATCTGATTATATTTATATTTTGTTTGATCAATATCTATAAATCCAATAACAGAACATGCATGAAATTAAATTGAACTAGGGAAAAATCTCGCGTTGCAGGTGTTGGATTAGTGGGGGTTGGAGGGCATTTCATAATCTTATTAAAAACATGAAATAGTAACAAACTTTAAATATTTTACATATACTCAGACTTTTCAACATACATTGTCTTAATAAGAAAAATATTGAAAGTACAGAATATTACATATACTCAAGTATTGCGATATCTAAGTACAGTGTCTTTTCAACTCCACCTACACTCTATCAATGCCCGTTCTAATCAGGTCTGTAATCACTGATCAACAAATAATTAAAAAAGAGAAATGCAAACATATGGGATCAATTTAGAACCATAAGATTATATTATAATTTAAATCCAATACCTAGGGATCAAACTTAACAAAATAGATGGAATCATACTCCATTACATTCCACCAGGCAAAACAAACATCATATTTCCATTCTAATTCCGTTACACCAAAAGCTACTTAAACTTCAAGTTTGCAAGCATTTTGGAGGCACCATCATTCCCTGGACTTGATGCTGTCATACTACTATCTTTAGTCCTACCACCAACATCATTGGTATTCCCTAAATTACCCTTGGACTTTTTATTTGGATCCATGTTGAACTGTATGTCAACAAAGAAGTTATTATTTCCCATACATTTATCAAAGGGAATTCACTGAACAAAGCACACGAAGATGTTGTTCATCAATAACGAGCACATGTCTTCGTCTTTTACACTATCAATGAAAAAAAGACAAAATTACTTCACATGAAAATCAAAATTCCCAAATTTTGAAAGGAATAGTAAATATTACTAACTATGCAATTAATATTAGCGATTTCCAGGTGGTATATCGGTTATCGGTACCTTTTAAAATATTGGTGTAAAATATCGGTCCAAAATATCGGAACCGCAAAATCGGTGATATTTACCGATATTCACCGATATTTCCAGGTGATTTCCAGGTGGGATATCGGTTAATAAATTTTACTTACTTCCGTTAGTGTTAAATCATTGTCTTAAGTCTTATGGTCTTAACTTATCTGATCCTATTGTTATGTTAAGTACTTAATTGTTAGTTTTAAGTCTTCACTAATCTTATTGTTGTGTTAATTATTAAATACTGAAGTGTTAACTTTCTAGTTTCTATAGGTTTGATCATCTTGTTATGTTAAATACTTAATTCTTAATCGGTGATGATGATGATGATGATGATGATGATGATATTAGAGTTGATGTGGAAGATCTTTATAAAATTATTGGAAGCCTTGGTTGATTTTCTTGGAGGAAGATTCCATGGCTTACGTATGATTATGCTTGAAACATTGACACTTTTGAATTTTGACTTTTGATATATTACTATTATATATGTCTTACGTTTATATATATATATATATATATATATATATATATATATATATATATATATATATATATATATATATATATATATATATATATATATATTATGCTTGATATGAAAATACCGATATTCCACTGATATCTCACCGCGATAACCTATATCTCAAAGATCGACCCTTGACCGATATCTGATTTTGGACCGCTATAACTGTCAAGATTACTGATCAATCATACAAATTCTGTAAAATGAGTCGACTTTAATAACCGTAACAAAAAGGAAAAAACTACTATACTTAGAATACAGAAAAAGTCTAATTTGATTCGGATCAGGAGTCGAAGCATATATAACCAAAATCAGATATGACTAATGCTTAGTAATCACCTTGTTAGGACCTGAGTTGAATGGAATTTCCGGAATAAAAGGCAAAACTTACATCATATAAGCAATTGCAGTGGTCCAGTCTATAAAAATTTAATCCTACAGGTAGAAAAACAAAATGTAGGAAAAAGTTAGTTAAAAAAACAGTGTAATCAATGGTCAGTACGAAAGCACAAAGAAATACATCAAAACAAACCCGTAAAAATTAGACAATCTAGGAAACAATTAGCTTTTTTAGTAGACCCAAGAAAATCCTGACCATATTTTTTTTACTTTAAAAGACATATAGTCATATGAATACCCAAAAAAAATCATCAAAAGCTCATCCCTGAATCAAATTGCTCAACCCATTCAGTAGGAATCTGCAAAAATAAAAAAGAAAAATTCATAAAAGTGAAAAGATTATTACCTTACAAACTTAGTGAACTTGAGACCCTGCAATTGGTCTTTACAATACAGCTTTTGGAGACACTTACAAAACCATGTAACAAATATTTAAAACAATAACTAAATGCTTTATATTTGGATAATATTGCCATAAGTAGAAATTGAAAGACTTACAAATTGAAAGATTTCATTGGCCTTCACGCCATTTAAAAGCTTTGAGATACAGTATCTGAGAATTTTTTCAAGAAAATCATAATTAGTGAATTTTCAGATAGTTTTTAAGAAAACACATGAATCAAAATCAAAACTTTACCAATCTTAGTAAAAATCTTTGACAAAAAATCCTTACCATCTTGAATGCTGTAAAAATCTTCATCACCATTAGATTCAATACTAGTTACAATATCAAACCACTCTGTACTTCTTGATGAAAATCAAATAACTGAAGATGATTTTTTTTTTTTTATTCATTTTGAAGTACAGAAGAAAGACTAATCAGATACCCAATTAAAGCTATGGATGATTAGTTCTTAAATTTATCCGTACTCAGATTCATGAATCATATGCTTAAGAAAAAAAAGTAATAAATAGTTTTTACCAAGCAATCATGAATAAATCCATGGTCAACTAATGTATAAAATTGACAAAAAATAAGATAAAGAGTTAAAAGTTCTTAGACAAAGGAAGAAACACTGAGACAGATAATGTTTTAAATCAATTGGAATATAGAGAATCAGATTCAGATCTTCCACCACATGTACCCATAATCCACGGCTTCTACAGAAGCATTGTAGCCTTGCTGTTATTATAGACAATCAATCTAAAAGTCAAAATAGGTGTGGGGAAGAAAGTCGAAATCGTATACAAAAACAGCTGAAAATATAAAACATGAATCAATCGTTCGTTTCGTTGAACAAACTACACCTCGTGATGGGCTTCTTCATCTGAAAATATAAAACTCTTTCTCGACTTATTGTTTATATTATTTATATTGAATTCATGACACATAATTTATTTTATTTTATTTTCTTAATTATTATGCACAGCTTGAGCTACAATATGCAGATGAAATAAAGGCGCTTGAACCTCCTCATACTTATGTCCCATGGGTCGTCCTAGATGGACAACCGCTTTATGATGTGAGTATTTTTGGATTAAAATTCTTTTCATTTTTATGATTAATTTTAAATTACAAAAATATATATATATTTGATTATTTTCACTTCCAGGATTATGTGGATATCATAAGCTTAATTTGTAAAGCTTATAAAGGCTCTAAAACACCCCAAGCTTGCCATGGTTTATCCCTTCCTGTTACCAAACATAAGGACACAGATAACAATTTGGATAATGTATGCTACAAAGAAGAGAAGTCAAAATCAAAGTCAAAGTCAAAGTCAAAGTCAAAGTCAAGGGTATCTGAAATTATGTCGGCTACAGAAGCTTCGTGGGTGCATGATGTTGGCATGGTTGAATCTATGTAGGATTATGGTATGTTTACAAAGTATTTTCCTAGTAATTCCTTGTTGTAATGAGGTTAGTTTTATACATGTCTTGGATTATGATTTAATGATATATGGTTATGCAGGAATAAAGTAAAAAAGGCAAATTACTTAAGTGGTTAAAATTATCAAAGTGACCGTTTCTTTTGGATATTCTAGTTTTTACTATATAAGTGGAAACATTTTAGCATTTAAATGGGTCTAATATGAGGTTGGAAGCATGTTTGTACAAAAATTGATGAATACTTATAAGTTAGAGTAAATTACACGATTTGTCCCTGATGCAAGTGTCAAATTGCGCGTTTGATCCCAATTTTCAAAAATTAAATTCAAACTGATAATTGAATTCAATCATGGAACTCAAAATGTAAGCTGAAATCAAATTGCAAATCGAACTTGAAATCATACCTGAAAATCAAACCCACAATCGAGATAAAGGGAATGGGACGCGAAGAAGATATGTCGAGAAAGAGGAAGGGAATCAGCATAGCATAACTACTACTGGTGGTGCGACGGTGGTGTCTCTCTTGACGGTGCAGTGGTGCCTCTCTTCACCTGATATAGCCCGTAAATATACAATTTCTTCAAAGGGGCAGAATTATAGGGAAGAAGAAAAGGTTTTAGGGCGTATACATTTTTGATATTCGAAGCTTGTAAGGTTTTGTAGCTTGGACGTTTCCGACGACAACATAGGGTTGCAGGTGGGTGCTGTGAGAAGAGAGGAAGGAGAAGAAGCTCTTTTGCGTTTGACAGGAGAAAGTTGAAGAGGGTAAGGACGTAAGGTATAAAAGGGGGTTGGCCCACTTCCATTTCTTTTTCAATAAAAAACTCAAAAAACAACAAATAATTGCAAAATAAATCAAAAGAAATAGAAAAGACAATATAGTAATTTCACGTATGGTAGGAATGAATGGTGCAAAATTTCATAATATAAGGGACGATCCGAGTTAATTTTCAAAATAGGGATCAAACGTGCAATTTGTCACTAACACCAAGGACGAATCATGTAATTTACTCTATAAGTTATGTAAACACTTTCCATTCTTGGAAACTTTTTCGAAACAAATAGCTAAAAGTGATAAAAAAAGATGTGAATTAAAGATGTTTTAAATTCTAACTATTGATATAAGAAAGTAACCCTAAGTAGAGGAAATATTATATAGTGTGTAGAGATATGTTATCTATAGAGTTAAGCTCCACATTGTTGATGATAAGTTGAATTATAAAGAGTCTCACTATTTGCAGGACAAGATCGAGCGTATCACGTCAGTGTACTATTATGTTAGTGTTATATTTCTTATACTAGTCATGAGGCCTATGTATTATATGAGTTAATTTAAAAAAAAGTTAAATATAAATGTCAAAATATTTAAGAACCTTGAATTTATAAGAAAATAAGAAAAATAATGGATTAGTATAATGAAAATATTTTTTATCTTTTAAATTTAAACAAATAATTTAAATAAATAGACAAAAGAAACTAATGAGCTTTAAATTTAGGAATTTTGAAATTAAAATGTAAGTTAATTAATGAAATTGATATCCATTTATTACTTCATTTATTGTAATTATTACATTAAAATTAAAATATTATGTGAAATTTAATAAAATAGAAAAACTCATAAAATGACATGTGAAAAAAAAAAATTAATTCAAAATAACCACAAAATAACATTTATCAATTGAATGAGAGTGTGATAAGTGACAAAAAAAAACTTCATTTATTAGAGTTGATTATACTCCTTTTTGTAATCATTGTCTCCTACATACCCAATCTTGTACCTACATAAATAGTCATTTAGTGTTTCTGTTGTAAAGTGTCCAATCTAGTCATTGTTGTGGTTTATATTATCACTAGCAAGTAAGGTATCGAACACACAGAACGGTAACAATTGAGATTAACTACTAGAATTACCTAAATAAAAACAAATAATAAAAGATGGTTTTCTCTAGTTTTGCAAGACTAGAAACTTAAATAAGAAAATAACACTTAAACAAGACAATTAACAACTAAAGAGAGCAAAAAGTAACTAGATTCAATGATAAAAGAGACTTCTATTTAGATTCGATTCATTTATTCCTATAGTTGATTTTATGGCAAGTGCAATGGATTAATATATCATTGGCAACCGATTTCTAATGTGATTAGGTTCATGTTCACTATTACTAATCCTTTAGCAAACATGTTAATTTAAACAGCGGCCAGTTGATTAAACTAACAAGTTTCCTAGTGTTCAGTTCGGATCAAGTAAGACTTGTAATATTAGTTAACTAAAATTTTCAATTCAATCAACTCATATGTGGTTGTTCATCACATATGCTCACACATTAATTTACTTATTTTCCAGTTAACCGTAGGTTCATATTCACTAATACTAGGCATACAATATTGTTTTCACAAAACTATATGATTCAAGAAATTAAGAAGATGTTCATACAACTCAATAACTTGATTATCAACAGAAAATAATTATCACTAACACATAAGGGTTTTTAACAAGCTTAACAAGAAAATTCACCAAATCAAATTAATCCAAGCCATAATATCACACCATATTCATAAATTTTTCTACTCTAAATAGAAGTTAAAAGCTTTTAGCTCATATCTACAACAAATAACAATCTAAAATCAAAATCTAATGACTCAAACATGGTTTACGTAAAAGATTAAGAAAAAGAGTAATGTTTATTGCCTTTGATCTCTTCTAACTTGACTTCTAAGTTGAATTCTCGAAATCCAGAGCTCCAAGAACCCTTCTAATCATCAATGAGTCGCCAAAAGTCTCCAACATATCTTAGGATTTCAAGAATAAACGATTTATATAGATATTCCAAAATTACGCACCAAGTCGTCGAGTTTTTAGACCAAACTCAACGAGTTTTTCACTTCACCCGCGTGTACGACAATACATTCTTGAATCGCGAAACTGATGGGTTTTGGTCCTAAGAACATCCTATGTGCTCATACAAACCCTAAAGCTTGGATCTAGGTTTCTCTATTGTACATGCAAGTTATCCAAGACTATAAACCCTAATTCTAGCATTCAAATAATCATATTAACATGAGAATAAGTTTATAATGTTACCTTGATTGTTATGTAGCAATAACAATCCCAATTCCTACTTGAATTGACTTTGGAAGGCTTAGAGTCACAAGTGTCACTCCTCTAATGGTTCACAAACACCATAAGCAAGACGATGAAGAAGAGAGAGGATGGAGGCTGCCCAAAAACGTGTGAAACCCTAGAAAGATCATTAGCCCATTAGCCACGTTTTTGGGTCATAAGGGTCTTATATATAGTAAAGCTATTAGGGTTATCTAACAAAGAAACCCTAATTTCGATGCTTAAGCCCTAAGCAACCCATGGAGCCCTTTCTTTAAGGCCTCGGACGATTTCATATGGGCTTCCTCATAGAATTCGTCCACCTTATAATATAAGGCAATCCATGGCCCAAATTATAATTATCTTATAATTACAATTCCAGCCCCTTAAGTTTAATTAATCTCTTTTAGTCACAAAACTAATTACTAATTAATTATTGACTAATATTAATTAAACAATATGATTTCTCCTTTAATATATTATTCTCATAATATATTAATAAATCATATTTAATCCTTTCTCTCCATAATTCATCATATCAAGTTGCTTTGGTGAAGGCAACCCAAAAGGACCATGCACCATCGGGTCAAGTACATACCAAAATAGTTATGGACTTAGACACTAATCCAACAGAAATTTCCAATCAACTCGCTGAGTTTTTTGTCTTTTAAGTTCTATTTCTTCAAACTTCAATCCCCAAGCTTCCAATTGCTAGTTCCGATTCTTTTTTCACTCGAGCATGTCTTTAAGGCTGAAAATGTAATTTTAACATAATTAAGTACCTTTTGTTTATAAATCAAGACAAAATAGCCAAAAAAAAGTTAAGATATTATATGAAATATATGATGAAATATGTACATATCAAAATACCCCACACTTGACTTTTGCTTGCCCCTAAGCAAAACTAAATTTTAGCACATTAGCATCACATAAGACAATCTTAATCAAGCCTAGCCATTATGCCAAGACCGCAAGGCATGCATTTGTGTCTGAAATTTTTCCTAAGGACCCCCCCCCCCCCCCGCCCAATCCTAAATACTTACAATCATCATAAACACTCGCTCACTTCTTTTGAAAAACGCTCATTTTATGCATCTCTTCGAATCCATCCACATAAAACTTTCTTAACCTAAAGTTATTTTTGGTTAAACCCCCAAGCACGCATATGACAAAATAACCTAGAAAATAAAATTACAATGAAAATAAAAATACTTGATACTTTGAATCTTCAACAATTTGTAGCTTTTCTTCTTGATATCTCTTCTTTGTCTTCATAGCTTTGTAGATTCTTTCTTTCAACATCGCATTACTTCTTTTCACTCACACTAAAAACCTAAAAAAATACATATGCTTATGCAAGAGGATTTAACTTCGTCATTTATTGGTTAAAGGCATTAGTCTCATGTGCAATGACTACTTAAGCTTTCCTAGATACATTTCTGGTACACGATGCTAAACATATTGCGTCCCTCAAACTAAGCGATGTTATGTTTTTGTCCCATGATTTCACTAGAATAAAGGGGGCCACAAATGCATTACAACGTATATAGGCTCAACTAAACATTTGAGTCCTCATAAAAACATCAAACACAATACTAGCATGGAATCCTAATTGCTTTTACCAAAATTTTCTAAGGTAAGTCCTAGCAATTTTATGCAATTTTTTTTTAATTATACCTAGAATCAGGATTCTAATTTAACTAATGTAACCAACCCCTACCCCAGACTTAATTCATGCAATGTCCCGATTGCATGTTATGCATGATAAAGAACATAAAAGTAAAGAGAGAGAATTGTAACAAACTCCCTTGGGATAGTAGTTGCAAGGTTGATATTCTTCATTTTTGAGCTCCATCTTCAACTGACTTTAGGCATGGGAACAACTCATCTACGCCTTGGGTGTCAAAATCTCGTGTGGCACAGCTCCAAATATAGATGAAAAAGCTCTTGGAAATGCTCGGGAAATAGTCTTTGAAGAATATAATTAATGCCCACGTAAAATAGAGTCAAATCATTGACTTGAAAATAAGAGAATGAGCAACTCGTCGAGTTCAGGTGGAAACTCGCCGAATTATAGCTATACTGGCAAAAAGTTGCGATTTTACGCTTGGACTGGTCGAGTTCTATATATGTACTCGACGAGTTCTCTTCGTTGTATGGACAAAATCTTCTTTTCTGCTTCAGGTCCTTTTTGGAATTTGAGGATAGTATTAAGGTAACACTCC